TAGATAGATAGATAGATAGATAGATAGATAGATGATAGATAGATAGATAGATAGATAGATAGATAGATAGATAGATAGATAGATAGATGATAGATAGATAGATAGAGTTGCACACATGCACACATTCAATGTTGGCTGCCCACATAGGCGACAGTGAGAGAATATGGAGGAAATGTGCTTGGGGTGGCAGGGAATCGCCTTCATTCATCGTGACTTCTCCCCTTAACCTTCTCTCCCTCTCTGTCCTTCTCTTTTCAGAGTAAGCTGGTGAAATACTTCAGTCGTCAGCTCTCCTGCAAAAGGAAGGTGTCTCTGCAGGAGCGGAATGCCAAACTGGAGGGCTTCCCGCAGCTCTGGCACTGGTTTCGCATTGTGAACATCCGCAAGGAGGTCATGGAGGTGAGTGAGGCCTGGACGGCAGCAGTTATTGGTTCCTGTTCCCCTCGACATGATTTGTTCCTCCACCCCCTTGCCCTGTCAGTCCATCCTTACAAACCTCCTTGGAGCTGCCGGTTAGGTTGTATTCTCTCCTCTGGTTGCACTTAATTGGTTTTGAGGGGTCTTTGGTGCTCTCTGAGCTTGGTTGTGTTTCTTTATCCAACGAGATAGCTGACCAGCACTGGTGATGTTACCTAGCTGGGTAATGAAATGTCTGCAAGAAAACAACCAAGCTCAGAGAGCACCAAGGACCCCACAGCCCTCCTCCTCTTCCTCCTCTTCCTCCTATGTTGTCACCACTACTAGACTAGACTGTCTGCCATGTTTATTACATGGGGCTCAGTGGTGGGATTCCATTTTTTTTAAACTACCGGTTCTATGGGCGTGGCTTGGTGCGTGTGGCAGGGGAAGGATACTGTAAAATCTCCAGCCAGAGGTGGTAATTGCCGGTTCTCCGAACTACTCAAAATTTCCACTACTGGTTCTCCAGAACTGGTCAGAACCTGCTGGATACCCACCTCTGATGGGGCTGCTCTTGAAGACCACTGTAGGAGAAAGAGTGGCCTGACCTGGGGGCGGAGTCAAAAGAGCCATCACCCTAGAATCCCTACATAGCCACAAACAAACTAAGTCCAACCTCCCTTGAATTCCACTGACTCTTATCTAACTCCAAGTAGGTGCTAGCCTTGAGTTGAAAAGAAGACCAGGAGAAGACCATACAAGAAGGTCCAGTTAAACTGATTTATTGCTGCTCTCACCTATGCCCAGGATTCACAAGTTTAGAAATAAGATATATAAATAAATAAACAGATAATATAATGATAATAATCCTGCTAACTATTTACCCAATTTTTAACAATAAAGCAACCATTATCGCTTTGATTGTTGTAAACCTCCATAATTCTTGATTGTGGCAACATACAAATATGATATAGAGACATGGATCCCATGCGTGCATAAAAAGGCCCATTTGGAGTATTCCTGACGTTGATTGATTATTTCCCAGAAGATAACTGAGGAGGGGGCAGAGAGAAGAATAGCATGAGACAAGAATGAAAGATGCTTTTATTTAAACCAAATACCAATACAAAAAAAAAAAAAAATGAAATGCATTTCATGGATAGTTCCCATATATTGAGCATGATTTCCATTAGGTCACGTTAAAAATTGCAGTTCTCCACAGCTTTTCAGATGTTTTATGGGCTCTATGCAACGTACGGGTACGTTTCTTGGTTTGTTCCTTTTCTGGCAGGGGAAGTCCTTAAATGGTGCATTATTTTTTTTGCTGCATGAGTGCAATAGAAACACGAGAGGGCAGCAGTGCTCTATCGTTACTGAACATTTCATTGTAGGGGGGAGAGAGAGAGAGAAAGACAGACAGACAGACAGACAAATTTTTACAGCTGCAAACGAGGGATTTGCTTTATGATGTTCATCATAATAAGAGTTGCTTGTGCAAGGGATAAGAGGAAGAGCAATCTGGTCCGTAAAGTTGCGTGCTTATTAGTAAAATTACATCTTCTCACTATCTAAAGTGTTGTACTAATTTCTTGAGTTTCCTTCTGTTATGAAAGAATCTTCTCTTTTTCTATGTAATTCTCAGGCTGAGAATTTCTTGGTGGTTCTTTTAGTGCTGGCTTTAAAGGCGAGGGAATGGAGCAGCAGGTATACATTTTATCCTCAAATTATGGCCACAATTGAGGCCGAAATGTATGTTGCTAAGTGAGAAATCTGTGGAGTGAGTTTTGCCCCATTTTACAGCTTTTCTGGCCACTTTTGTTAAGCGAATCACTGCAGCTGTTAAATTAGTAACATGGTTGTTAAGTGAATCCGGTTTCCCCATTGACTTGGCTTGTCAGAAGATCGCAGAAGAGGGTCACATCACCCCGGGGACACTGTAACCGTCATAAATACGAGACAGTTGCCAAGTGCTTGAACTTCAATTACGTGGCCATGGGGATGTTACAACGGTTATAAGTGGGACAAATGGTCCTAAGTCACTTGTTTCAGTGCCGTTGTAACTTCGAATGGTCACTAGGTGAACTGTTGTAAGTCGAGGGCCACCTGTGTGTTGTGGCCTGCCAGCAGCCAGTGGAGCTGGCAGCAGACTCGGACAGTGAGGAGGTTGGGGAGGAACATGGGCCAGTCCTGGAGTCTGGGGAAGGCTCCGATGAGGGCTCTGCGTCGGAGGCAGAGATGGGGCGAGGACCATCCGACAGTTATCAATTGCCTTTGGAGTCGGAGATCAGTGGGGTAGAAGAATAGCTGGAGCCTGTTCCCAGTGTGCGCATGCACAGAGCTGCTAGGAAAAGGGAACAGCTAAGGAACAAGGATCGACGCACAGGTGGACAGTGAATGGCCACTCCCATAGGGAATAAAGAGGAGCAAAAAGGGAGTGTTGTTTTTTTTTGCAGGAGACAATTAGTTCAATTAAGTAGAGTGAAGATTTGCTCCTGATTCCTTGCGAAGTATTTACTGCTACAGCGTGGCATTTGGAAGCTATCGGACTGGCAACTCTCCAAGCCTTACAAAGGTCTATCCTTGTAAAATCTCTTGAAAGACTGTTTGCCGAGACTTTGCTGGATGTGAATGAGAGGAATTCACTTTAGCCTAAATAAAAGGGGTTTTAACAGATAACAGATAACCAGAGTTGGAAGGGACCTTATAGGTCATCTAGTCCAACCCCCGAACCCAAGCGGGAGACCCTACACCATTTCTGACAAATGGCAGTCCAATCTCTTCTTGAAAGTCTCAAGTGATGAAGCTCCCACAACTTCCGAAAGCAACTTCTGTTCCATGGGTTGATTGTTCTCCCTGTCAGAAAATTCCTCCTTATTTCCAGGTTGAATCTCTCCTTGTTCAGTTTCCATCCATTCTTCCTTGTCTGGCTCTTCGGGTGCTTTGGAGAATAGCTTGACCCCCTTCCTCCTCCCTGTGGCAGCCCCTGAGATATTGGAAGATGCTCTCCTGTCTCCCCTGGTCCTTCTCTTCCCTAGACTAGCCAGGCCCAGTTCCTGCAACCGTTCATCGTATGTTTTAGCCTCCAGTCCCCTCATCATCCTGGTTACTCCGGGTTTTGTCGGGACGAGGAGCCTGCTTCATGATTTTGGGAAGCTTCAGTCAGAGCACCGTGACCGTAGCAACCTTCCACGTTGCAACCTTGTTCTGCAGGACTCTTTTTCACAAATTAACATTCCTCACAGGGGCAAGTTTTATCCGGCAAGCCCCTTTCCATTGCTAAACTTCTCTAATAACCGCTTCAATCTCCTTCTTGCTCTTGCTCTCTCTTCCTCCAGGAAATCGCCTCCGGGCAGCTGAGCCTGGAAGACCTTTTGGAGATGTCGGACGAGCAGGTCTGCAAGACGGTGGAGAAATTCGGGGCGAACTGGGAGGAATGTGCCCGACTCAACGCCTCTCTCTCCTGCCTCCGGAACGTGTACAAGTCAGGTGCGGGAGCCCAGCTTCCTCTTCTTCTGGTGGGCGGTGGGCAGAGGTTCCGTCTGATGTTTCTGCTGGGGAAAACCATAGAATAACAGGGCCAGGAGGGACCTTGGAGGTCATCTAGTCCAACCCTCTGCCTGTGGCAGGAGATCTTCTACCATTCCGGACAGATGGCTGTCCAGCCTCTTCTTGAAAAACCTCCAGGGATGGAGGAGCTCCCACAATTTTAGACTGTCCACCTCAGAAGGTCAGGCTTTAAATTAGCAACTTTAGATGGTCAGTTTTAGACGGTCAGCTTTAGATTTAGACCTACAAATTTGGACTGCCCACACGGGTAGGTCTGTTAGAAATGAGTGAGACTTTAGGTCTAAATGCTTTATGTTGCCTCCACAGTTAATACTTTATCTCTATCTGAAGAGGCTTCCACATTTGAACGCTTATTATGGACTATCTCAGGTCAGGCTGGGTTACAAATTCACAACTTTAG